ATATATTGAATATATTTTCTATATTCTATATGAATATATTTTCTATATTCAAAATTTAATTTTCAAAATTAAAATAATAAGAAAATTGTCAATAAGAAATACTCTCTAGTCTTCAATGAAACCTGCATTAAAAAACAGCTTCTGCCAAATTACACAAACTTTCTAAATTGTATTTAATTAAATGATAGCGACTTATATGACAAATAAAAAGAGGTACAAAAGGATTTGGAATCATCGAAATACATTATGTTAATAAAGCTGAAACGGCCACACTGACCAGGTGATCAGCGAGGTCCATGATTTTGCCATTTAGATTTTAGACGAAAGGCTGGCTGTGAACAACCAAGTCTTCAAAAAGCGGATTCGAAGAAAGAGATTGGATTCCTGTTTCACACCATTCGGTCATTACGCTTACGCATTTACGCTGTAGCGTGTGAAAATCTAGCTACGTCGCGACTAGCTAGTGACCTAGTGTGAGTTTGAGCCTGAGGGCAAGAATGTGAAGTTGTGAACTGATCAAAACCTTCACATGTTATTAAATTCGGTTCTGTTTTGAGTTGAATGTGCATCCGTTTATTTTTACTTAGAGTTAATCAAAAGTTAAAACGAAACTCATTAATACAATAGTAGCCTAGTAGGTAGTACTGAACTACTGGGTTTGAAGTTTGATGCTTGTTCTGTAGGTTCATACTTCATAGACACACTCGCACTGAATTCAGAACTAGCTAGGTAGCTACTAAGGTCTGAGGACGCAGTAACAGTAAGGTGAATGAGGCAGGCCAATGCTGGTAAGGCATTAGGCAGGCCAATGATCGATCAGGTCAGGCTGGCCAATACTGGATGCTGCCTAGTGCCAAGTTGCCAACTGAGCCTCCACTGAGAGTGGAGGCTGGGAGGGTGTAAGAAAAAAAGCAATACCTAATAATAATAAAACTGAAATAACCAAACCATAATAATATCGCAAATAGTCACTCAGGGCCTAGTATGGAATATATCTACTTGGCGAGCCGCGACTGAATTTTTCGAGCTGTGGTTTTATGGATTTGCCAGCCGTGATTCCATTTCTACGAGCCGTGATTCTATTTCACCGAGCCGCGAATTCCATATCCTGTCTCTTATACACATCTGATGTGTATAAGAGACAGGTCATAAGACGTCTGCGGGCTCAATAAATTATTAAATTTTATATACCGATCATAAACCCCTGCTATTGAGAATGAGACTATTCATCATTAATCCGTAACTACTGATCACTACAGTTGAAAATATTTCTTTAAAAAACGATTGCATCGACCACTAAACTATTTTTGTTCAATATTTCGTAAACTGCACGGCCACAAGC